GAATTCTTTAAAAAATTGTTAAATTTAGATGGTTTTTACAACATGTTGTGACAGTGTTTCACAAAAAAAATTCTTAACCTATTATAAAAAATGTACCAGTATTCAGGGGGATGAAAAACATAAAGAGGAGGAAAAAGAAGGCAAGGAGAAAGCTAAAGAACAAAAAGAATCTAAGCAAGAATTGAAAACTGAAGCTAATGTTGACATTTCTGCTCTGCGAGAAAAATTGTTGTCTAATATTGAGAAGATGAGATCTGGCATGGCTAGACTTGAGGAAGTTTTCACTCAAAATCCCACATTACAGACTTCAACAGTGATGAGGAAATTACTGGAGCTATATAAACACTGCAAGTATGCTTCTGTTTGTTTCCTTAAAAGAATATTTAAAGGATGATTGGGGGTTTGGGTTGGCCCTGTGGTAGAGCTTTGGATATTGGAGTTTGTGAACCGAGTTTAAATTCTTGAAATACCACCTAATATTCCCGACGCTTTCACCTGCAGGTGCATTATAAGAGTGACAGTCGATCCCTAAGCATGGATGGTGGGTACTGTTGAATGGCTGCCTTCCCTTTGATTGGTAGTTCAAAATTAGGGATGGCAGCAGACAGCCCCTAGTAGCTATGTTATAAATATATTATACAAATACACAAATACAAAAATAAATAATACAAATACATAAATACAAAGAATGATTAATCTTATGATTTCAATTTTGTTCTGTGCAAAACAGCACTATTTATAGCCAGTAGAAATTATTTTTTGTCAGTTCATTTTTATTGGAAGAATTATTAAAGGAGTTTTTCTTCTTACATCAGTGATTGGAATTTTTATTGTAACTTACCTTTTTTTTATATTCAATAAATATTTCAAACTGATTGTCCTAGAGTATGGTTATATTAGTAATATTCATGGTGACTAGTTTCACCTTAGCAACAATTTCCAACTGTGAATCCATTTTTTTCTGCAAAATATTTGATAGCTGTTACTACATACTTAAAAACTTGCAACTACTTGTTGGCGCTACTCTCCATTGCTATTAAATCACTTTATTTAAATTTAAATGCTTTTGTATGCATAGAATTACTGGAGTTTCACCCAAGCTTTATCATGAACCAAAGTATTTTTCTTGGGATTTCTTGATGAAGTAGCTCTTTCTGAGATTTTGTTTTACTAGGCAATATAAATTATGTATTTCTTGTCCATGTTTAAATGTGTTTACAAAATTCTCTCTAAAGTACACAACATTAATAATGTTCGTACTAATATTAAGGCAAAATTTTATACTATATCAAGTGAATAATAGTTTTGTAGTAATAAAAAGTAACTTTTGCTGTCATGATAATATACATAGTAAAAATAGGAAAATTTTAATAGTAGATATAGGAAAAAGCTCTTTACAGCACACTTAGTAAAAGAAAAGTATCATGGCAGCAGAAGTACTGAATAAATCTCATTACAGGAGATCTAGAAAAAAATCCCATATGACAGCAGAACTACCAAATGAATATCTAATTGCAGATCTAGCAATAAACTCTTATGACAGCTGTTGTGAGGATAGACATTTTGTCACAGCAGACCTAGCAAATCTGTTAAAAGTTCTAAAATTTCCCAGTCTTCTGAAAGTATATACTTAACCTACTGTGTATCTAAAAACTTCCATTACAGCAAACCTTGTTAGATGCTTTCTTCACAGTAAACCTTTTAACCTCTCTGGACTGGAGGTGTCACTGTTATGCTTAATAAATATCACCTAGTTTTGGCTTTAAAAAGTTCATGCAGTTTAGTTTTGTTTTTCTATAACTTTTCTATGTTGCAAAAATTTCTGTGTGTCAGTTTTTCTGAAAAATATTAAAATACCTCCTTTCATCTTAGAATTTCACTTTTATTATTTATTTATCAGAAAGTTATATTTTTTATATCCAGTTATTTTTAACTTGATTTATTTGTATTAAGATATTTCCTTTCAAACCTTATTTTTCTTATTACAATATTCACCACTTCTTACTATAAATTGTTTTAAAAATAATGATTTATCAGTGACCTAAGACCTGACCTTTCAGAATAGTGTTAATTCAGGCTAGGTAACAGTATTTTTGCTAACAATATTCTAGGTTGAAATCAATTTATATCTAATAAATATTCTTTGTTTTCAATAAATTACAAATTCTTTTATTTATGAGCTTTATTTAAATATGATGAACTTGGCAATAATACTCAACTAGGGAAGATTTGAGTTTCTGCAATATTTTGCCATTACTTTCAAACAAGTATAACTTAATGCTAAAGTATTTTCAGGAACAAAAAGAACGTCTGTAGAAACTATAAAAATAATTCCAGATGATTTTTCCCTAAGTCTTCTAAAATTCACAATAAATTATGTTGTTCTTTTGTGCAGGACCTACACTAATCGTTTTCTCATAAAAACCATAAATTATCTGTCACACCACTTTATTCACTTTGATATACCTAGTCTGTAATGTGTTCTATCCATTGGTATTTACACTTTGGCTATAGCTATTTTCAAAGCCATTCTTCATTAGTTGTTCACACCTCTTTTATGACCCTACAGCAAATGATGTGAACATGTAATAATAATTCTTCAGACAGAGGAAGAACAAGTCATGGTTATTTATATGTTTAAGGGATGATAGTTTACTAGCAAATTAAAACGTATAGTTTGAGATGGGCAAAGAAGCATGAAAAGATAGATAGATGTGTTGTTTATAGGTGAGTCTTCTGAGCTGGGCAAAAACGTACATTTGGATTTTGCAAGTTACATTGAATAAATGTTATATCATGAGAAATATCAATTGTAAAATATATATGAGTAAATATTGTTGAAACAGAATTACAATTATTGTTTTATTAAACTTTTAAAATTTTATTTGCAGGTGTGCATTCATCCCTTTGGAGGTGCTCACTGGTTGTGTTAGTGTTGAAATCTCTCATGTTCTAAAGGCTTTTTGACAATAAATCTATTAACCCTCATGCCAGCAAACCCATTAAAGACTTCTTAAGAGTAAATCTGTTAAGAACTCTCCCCCCCCCCCCTCCCCAGTTGCTTATGTCATATGCAACTTAAAATTATAGTTATTCTAGTGATCTCAAGTAACCTCATCTCTAACTTGTAGAACAAATAAAGTTTTTTTTGGGCCCGGCATGGCCAGGTGGCTAGGGAGCTCAACTCGCAATATGCGGGTCACAGGTTCGATTACACATTCCACCAAACATGCTTGCCCTTTCAGCTGTGGGAGTGTTATAATGTGCTAGTCAATCCCACTATTCATTGGTAAATCAGTCGCACAAGAAATGGCAGTGGGTGGTCATGACTAGCTGACTTCCCTCTAATCTTACACTGCCAAATTAGGGACGGCTAGCACAGTTAGCCCTCGTGTAGCTTTGTGGCAAATTCAAAACAAACAAAGTTTGTTTATCTACTTTCCCCTATTTTCCCATAAAGTAGGCATGCAGTGTGAATGGTAAAGCTTTAAGTTGTAATATGTTTAGATTATTTTTTGAAATTCCATTAAAACTTACAACCTGCTAATACCAAACCTGGGGACAAAACTTTTTTATCATTTTAATTTTAAAAGTACAAATATTTATTGCCAGAACTACTAGTTTTCTATTGGTTAATACTCATTTTGTTGAATTTAAATTGTTTCATGTATCTGAGCTAAAAAACTAATTTTGTTTAGGGCAATGGACCAAATACTTGGAACAAAATACTTTCATGAGCCTCAGTTTCAATCTCTGGTAGACAAGTTGCGGCAACGGGGTCGTGTAAACAGTGCACAACACATGGCCGATCAGATTCTCAGACTTTTCTCTGGAACAGAACAGTGTAATGAGTGCTCTAAACAAAAATTGGTACTAAAAGAGAATGACACACAATCAGAAAATCTACTAGCTTCAAGGAAAAAAGATATCTGTATGTGCAAACTGGATTCAGAACTAGAGTCTGTTTCTCGTTCACTCAATAATATCCATATTCCAGTAGACACCAGTGAAGGAAGTGGAACTACTGGGCAGGTGACTTCCATGTTTTCACAAGGTGGAGGTAGCATGGAGCCTAGGAATGTGTGCCGAACTCTGTGCGCTCTCTTAAAGTCTCGACTACTTAAGGCACATCAAGATGTTGAACGCTGGTTTGGGATGTCTTCAGCTGCATTAGCTACTGTTGGTAGGTCTTCTCCTGCACCAGAGAAAGCGGACATAGATGTTGAAGCTACAGAAGAAACAGTAGATATCACTAAAACTGTAAATGGAACATTTACAATTCAGAATGTTAACTCTGTAGACCAAACTGTAAACATTAAAACTACAGAATGTAAAGATGGAAACTTAGAAAATATTGAGTTAGTGTCTCAAGGCTTAAGTATCAACAACAGTGAGTTTAATATAGTTAGTAATAGTGAATCAAATACTGAAATCTTGGAACATGAAAAAACTCAACAAATGGAATCTCAAGAACCTAGAATAACAAGTACAAATGAGAAGCTAGAACTAGAAGAAAAATTGGAAGATATGAAGAGTATTGATACAGCAGGACAAGGTATTTGTATAATGAGTTTGTCAGTGAACATCCACACAATATATGTTTACTGTATTTAAGAAATAAAACAACTTGTTAGAAAATAAGAGATGTTAAAGATGGGAAAAAATTCAGAAATATATTTAGGTATCACTGAGTTATAGCTACAATGCAGTGTTCTATTGATAACACCTAACTC